TAATTTATTATAAAATAATTATATTTATAATTTATTATAAAATTAGTTATTACCCGAAATTTTGACCGTGACGCCGGGATGGTACTGACCGGAATAAAAAGTAGTGTATGATAATTATATTACATTAGTAGCCTATGCCAATATAGCTAAATATAGCAATTTTACCGAGTACTCTAATATAATAATATTTCTAAGGGTATATATTTTAGATTATTAGACACACACTGATATAAAAACGAGTCAGCTAATTTGACAACTACCTTGACGTATTTATGTTTAATAATTTATCTATATTTAATAAATAAAATTTTTATACATTTTAATTTTATACATTAAAAAGATGCAAAAATTATAAAACAAAATAAATATAGAAGTTATAAAGGAAACATTTACAATATAATTATTTATCACGCAAAATTGTATGAAAAAGTTGGCCCACTTTTATCGAAGCATTTGTATGGATACATTCTATCTATATAATCGAAGCTATGTATATATATTATACATATCTAATATAATAATATTACCGAAATGTTGGCTATAAGCGTTATTTCTAACTTACTGTTAGGGGTCTACCATGAAATAAAATTCCGAAGTTACAGACCCACATTCACGCTTTCGTTTATACTAAAAATGGCCCAGTAAATAAAGTTTAACATTTCATTTGTCATAAATCTTACCATAAAAGTCGAAAAGATCAACATTTTAATATTTTTAAACAGCATTTATTATACTATTTTAGCATCAAATTTATGTTCGGTCTCTAAATATCGGAAAGATTTTCATGGTAGTCTCTCTAACTACTAAAATCGTATAGGTAACATCAAAAAATTAGAGATCGAAAGAGGTGGTAGAAAATTACATTAGAATGTTCCAGAGCAATTTAGGCGTCGTAGCGAGAGGCTGTCTTTTCGGTATATCAAATGAAATACCATATTAATAGCTTTTTATTAACCACATGGATATAAAAACTCAAGTAAGTAACTTATATAATAATCTCCAATAACTATTTACGTCATTTTCTAAGTAAATTAATAATTTTATGTGGAACTATAATTCTGGAATTTTTTAATAATTTTTAAGAAACACTAAGTTAAACTAATCCTTTAGGGCGGGAACAGAGACCAAGTGAAAAAAAGATTTCAAATTTCGAAATGCATGTTAATAATGTAATTTAAAAAAAAGACTTCCAATTTCGAATGTGTGTGTTCGATGGAAAGCAAATTTTTAGATTTAATTAACTTTCTTTAATCTACGTTGTAAAATAGTCTTCAATAACTTCCTAAATGTTGAAGTCTTTCATATTTTTACGCAATAATTTGTTGAAGTTGCTATTAATAAGCAATTGATCTAAATCCACCATTTTGAAATTCATGACGTGTTTGTTGCGTTAACACGAGAAAATGGCTGATCGGAAATTTTATAAATAAGGGTAGGTAGGTACTAAATCAACTTAAAAGTTGCTATTTACCTCTTTATTTCATCAGCATAAGTGAGTGAACTATCTGATATTCTCATGGCTTTGCATAAATAATACTACCTATGTGTTAATATAGACGTTTTATGGTTTATCTGCAGAATTTCATTTAAATCCGATCCGATCTGAGTTTTATATCACACTTATAATTCATAGACTTAGTATAATGTACTTTTACCAGCTATATATAACATTTTTTTTTTCAGGTGAAAATGAAGGTGTTTGTTGCTGTCAGCACTGTTAGAGTATTTTATATTATTTATACAAAGTAAAACGTGTGCCTGAAAGAAGTCCATTCGTACTACATTTTATATGGTAAGAACATTAGAAAATCATACTAATTTGCATACTACCTATAATTACCTACTTATAGTACGCTATAATATTCATTTTTTAAATCATTAATTGCGATTAGAAAAAGTGTGTACCTAACTCTTCGTGAGTGGCCACATCATCATCATCATCATCATCATCATCATCATCATCATCATATCAACCTTTGACTGTTCACTGCTGAACAGCCTCCCTTTATGGATTTTGCCCGTAGTTGCCACGCTAGCAGGCAGGTTGGCAAGCGTAATTAGGCTTTATAAATGTTTTAAGAGAGACGCTGCTGCCTATCCTCGCCTTCACTTAGTCGTTTCTTACAACACCCACGGGAAGGGGGGAAAGGGATTGTTAGTTATGGAGACTGAGAGTCCCATTGCTAGCAATATACCCAACCAGGTCGACCTCCTCGCGGTTCCCCCTGGAAACTATCATGGTTAATTCCTGATGAATTCATCATGATGGGCTAACTGGCCTGTTTTCATTCTCATCTATCACCCTTCACTGGTGCTCCGCCAGCGTATCCCGTTAGCGCAGGCGGGGCTACCATACCATTTTCACCCATCAAAAAAAAAATAGGAGATTAGTTGGTGCGGTAAACTAAACGTGCTGACGCCCACCCTTGCTGTATAGGGAAGGTCTTTATCCAGCTGTGAATAACAATAGGTGATGAATTATGATTTATGGTTATGATTATTTTATATTTTTTATTCAATCAAATGAATAGTTCAAAAGATGATTAATATAATTATGTAGGTAGGTACAAAATGCAACGATTCACATCGAATGAATTCATACATTACATGCAGTCTATCTACCTTCTTTATTTTATCTTTTTTTATTATTCACCCCAAGTATTCTCAGCTAAGACGCAAATACCGCAACGTACTAGCCTTTGTATTGGGCGTTTTTAGCACATTTTATTTATTAAGGACTTTCACTCGTCTCTTTTTCTACAAATTAAAGTTGGTACAGATATTTTTAGCTTTGGCATACTACCAAGTTCATTCCGTGCGGTACAACTACGTATTTTTTAAACCTAAGGAATGTGATCAGTGTTGTGATTGATATGTATAAATATTCATGGCTTCGAGCAATAACAGTGAGTTAATTACAGCCTGGATTCTCTGATACCAGCACACTCAAGAGTTAACGCTCTGTAAGTCTTTTACGTTATCTAAACCACGTTTTTTGTGGCCGTTATAAAGGGTGTCGGGTTTCATGTGGTCCAAACAAAAACGATCGATAGAGGGGTCCAAGAGCTTCTCTAAACACCTCCATGTATGTTCTGCAAAAATTTATAGTTTTCGAGAAATTTGCATTTTTATAAATTTTTCGTTAGTACCCGAAATGTTGCATTCTTTATTTATTTTCTCCTAAACTATTATTACCAAAACCTTAATTACTTTTGTGGATGTGAACAATTAATAGGCCTTTCACTACGACACTACAATTCTAATCCAGGCTGATAAGTTTTTTAAGTTGTATTTTAAGAGAAGATCCCGATTTTATTATACTAGTATAAATATTAGTTAGCAAAGTATATCATCCTAATCACTCACAATACCTACAAGTAGAATTATTGGGGGGAAGAAGGGATTGTTAGTAACGGGACCAAAGAGCCCTATTGCTAGCAATATATCCTATCAAGTCGACCTCTACGCCGTTTCTCCTGGAAACCATCGTGCTTAATTCTTGTTGAATTCTTCACGATGGGTTAACTGACTTGCTTTCATCCTCACCTATCATCTCACTGGTGCCCTGCCAGCATATGCATATGCATGCATAGCACGGGAGGTGTTATCATTTCTGTCTCATCCATAAAAAAAAGTACAATAATTGGAATATTTTCGGTAAATAACAGGCTAGCGATTCTGTACAATTAAGCTATCGAATTAAAGAAATACTTTTATTATAAAGTTAAAGGGGATAATAAATATTCATTATTGTACTAGCGACCTGCACCATTTTTGCATGGTTTTTTTTTTATAAAATTAATGTTATTCGCTGATAATATAGCCTTCTATAGGTAGGCTCTATAGGAGCTTTCACTAATATCTTTAGCAGTATTGATTTATTGTTTAAGTGCTACGAAATGGAGGAAAATGAATAACAGATGCAAATACGTATGTCTCATTTTTATTATTATTTTCAGGTGACTTCTAATACGACCCAGTAGTAATAATGATGTTGTATTGGAACGTTGCATCAAGACTATCAATTTAAGTGCGACTGGCAGGTCTCAATACAAGGTAAGAACAGAACAGTAATCTTCATTCTACTGGTGCGTTAGAGTTTTAAATGAATATAGATTACTATTAGAGATTATAGAGTTCTAAAAATAAATATATAGTGCAGATAGGCACGTAGTTTTGTTTAAATAAGGTCCTGGGTTGGATTCTCCAATCGGGGACCAATTTAAGTAAAAATATTTTAACAATAAAATAATTAATATAAATAAAATTAAGACATTAAGTCACCAATTACTATATTGGATATAAGAATGGGCGGTAAATAAAAAAACAATTAACAATAATGCTTACGTTTACTTGAATAAAAATTATTTTTATACTCATTTTTCCGTTCAATAACATACGGGTTTTTTTATATCAAATTAGGCAGTCGAATTTTATCGAAGTATTTCAAGAAAGCCATGTGGACCCGGCATAGAATAGGCCGGTCCTTTCTTTCCCGTGGGTGTCGTAAGAGGCGACTAAGAGAAGGTGATGGATGTGTAGCAGCGTCCTTGAAATCCGCCTGCCAAGTATGGCAACTACTGACAAAACACTCCAAAAGCCTCGTAATGACTATGCTGAGCAGTGGACAGTTAAAGGCTGATATGAAGATGTTGATTTCAAGAAAAATCATTTAGATGTTATTGATTAGACAGTGAGTATTAATATTACTGTCGCTAGTGATGCCAGTAATGACCTATCTTCTGAATCTTTCACATTTATAATCTTAATAGGAAGAAAGTATGATAATTTCTGTACCTTTCTTTTGTTTAGGTTACTACTTGATGAATGAGTCTGTTTTTGTCAGTGCTGTTAAGATACATTATTTTTACCTATACGAAGTAAAAGGATTGCCTGAACGGAGTCCATTTGTACTGCAATAACATTTTATAATCATATGAATTAGCATATTACATGTGTACCCACCCATAGTACGCTGTTGTACTCGTATTTAAATAATTAATAGCGATTAGAAAAAATTTTTAGTACCTACTTATTTTGTGAGTACATCATGTAGTGAATAAATAAACGATTAGGGGCGGTAAACTAAACGTGTTCATGAAAGTGGACACCCACTCTTGCTGTATAGGGAAGGTCTTTATCCAACAGTGAATAATAATAGATGATGAATATAATTATGTAGGTAAGTATGTATCGCATTGATTTGCAATGTTACATTGAAAGAATTTTGTATTTTTATTTATACGACTTTGAATGGAAAACAAGCTGACAGCCCACCTGATGGAAAGTGGTAACCGTCGCCTATAAACATGAGCTGTACCATGGACATAACAGAGTATACTATTTCGCCCGTGATACCCCATGCGTTGCCATTCCTGAGGACTTAGGTGTTATTCCTCTGTAACCAGTAAATTCACGCCATATCCCACCCTTCAAACCGAAACACAGCCATGCAAACACAACTGCTTCATGGTAGAAACACGAATGGGACAGAGGTACCCAAGCAATCGACTTTTGTTCAAAGTCTCCCTCTGATATTCTTAATTAATTTATTCATTATATGCTTCTTTATTTTGTATTTTTTATCGTTCAATCAATCAATATATTTTTATTTGAAAGTTATGAAAATACAATTAATATTATAAATGCGAGAGTTAGTAACAATGGATGGATGTTTGTTACTTTTTACTCAAAACTATTGAATGGATTTGATGTCACGGCTCGGCGCAACGAAGCCGCGACGCTGGGTTTTAGTGGACCTCGGTTGTAAAAATCGTACAAAGTTTACTTAAATTGGAACTTTTACATTTACTCAGTGTTAATAGAAAGAAACACATACTAAATTACAAACAATGAGACGTTTGGAGTTTATACATAACTGTCCGATATATTTTCTCGCATAGTCATTTATTTATTAGACTTTCTAATATTTTTAGTGTTATTAATTTATTATTCAAATACGACGGATATAAAGGAAAACGAATAATAAATGTAAAAATACATGCTTCTTTTTTACTATTATTTTCAGATCACTTCTAATACGACCCAAGAGTAATGATGATGTTGTATTGAAGCGTTTCATCAAGAGTAACGACTCAATTGGCAGGTCTCAATACAAGGTAAGAAAAGAATGGAAATAGTCACTCTGCTGGGTTATAGTTTTAAATAAACATAAATTACGATTAGAGATTATATATCTAGTTCTAAAAATAAATATATTGAGTACTACCGTGATATAATTGGGCACGTTGCTTTGCGTAAAAGGTATCCTGGAATGGATTCCCCAATCGGGTCAATTTGAGCAACAAATTTTTCTGAATGGTTATGGGTCTGGATTTTTTGGATGTTATGGGTTGGCCTAAAGGCACAGGCGTTTGTTGTTTAATTCTTCACAGCGTAGGGTATCTTATTTTTATTTTAGGACTTGGTAATAAATAAAAAATAAAAGAGTATATAAATAAAGATTTCTTAAAACGAACAATATTATCAACAGTTTACACATACACAAACATAATTTTTTATTACAATTATCCTAGACCCAGCTTATATTGAAAACTAATTTTCGCTGTATTGTGGTAGTGACGTGTGTTTCATCCGTTCCGTTCAGTTTCTACGGCTACTACAGCAGCTGGGGGGGGGGGGGAGGGAATGGAGACTAATAATTCTATTGCTAGCAATATACCCAAACAGGTCGACCTCCCCGTAGTTCCCCCTGGAAACTATCATGGTTAATTCCTGATTAATTCGTCATGATAGGCTAACCTGTGGCCTGTTTTCATTTTCATCGATCACCCTTCACTGGTGCTCCGCCAGCGTATCCCGTTAGCGCAGGCGGGGTTACTATTCCATTTTCACCCATAAAAAAGAACAGCAGTTGGGGGGGGGGGGGAGGTATTATTAGTGATGGGGTCAAATAAATGATTCCACGATGAGTGACATCACATCTTATCTTCTCTCTCTCTCTCACTCAGGTGTAGTAAGATGTCGCTGACAATACTTCATCGACTTTTTACTTGGAAGGGATCATCATTTTTACTATTATTTTTAGGCGACTTTTGATACGACCCAGTAGTAATAATGATGTTGTATTGGAACGTTGCATCAAGACTATCAATTCAAGTGCGACTGGCAGGTCTCAATACAAGGTAAGTACAGAACAGGAATCTTCATTCTACTGGTGCGTTAGCTATAGTTATCTATAGTTATTATTTTTTGTTTTTTTCATTTGCAAACTTACTTTTTATATTATTGTTATATCAGAATTGTTAAATTAAATTAAGATTATATGCCAATTATTGTTTGATAGTATCTTGTTTTTAAGTTAACTATAACGTTGATATTAAGTCTTAATAGATTTCATTTTCAGACTTTATTCAGTTAATTAATACCATAACAGTAATAACTTGGATATTTTCTAATTTAGCAAATATTTGGTTAAAATAAGTAATTTATTAAGACGCCTAATTAAACGCCATTCGTGTTTCTACCGTGAAGCAGTTGCACGAGTATGCTTCAGATTGAAGAATGGGAAATGGTAATAAAATTAATAACATAGAATAGAGATATTACCAGAGGGAAACTTTGTACAAAAGTCGATTGCTTGCGTACCTCTGTCCCATTCGTGATTCTATTGTGAAGCAGTTGTGTTTGCATAGCTGTGTTTTGGTTTGAAGGGTGGGATATGGCGTGAATTTACAGTGTACAGAGGAATAACATATGAGTCCTCAGGAATGGCAACGCAATGGGGGGTATAATGAGCGAAATAATATACTCTGTTATGTCCATGGTACTGCTCTTGTCTCTAGACGATGGTTACCACTTTCCATCAGGTGGGCCGTCAGCTTGTTTGCCATTCTAAGTTGTATAAAAAAGAGGCATAATACCATAGTCTCCAGGAATAGCAATTCATGAACATTATCATAGATATCACAATGTAGTACCACTTTTTATTAAGTGGGCCGTCAGTTTGCTGGCCATTCAGTTTCATAAAAAAAAAAATAAGGTCCATGCAGTAAATATTAAAATGTATGTTTCTGTACTACATGTTTTGTATTTATCTTTCAACAACTCTTGCTATCTATTTACCTGTGCGAAGCAGTGCGGTTTGCTAAAGAATAACGAATGCATGATAATGGAATGGTGACCCCGCCAGCATTTGGGCTTTTGGCTAGCATTACCTACCTATTAGGTATGTTCTGGCAATGTACCAATGAGGGATGTTTTGTCAGCATAAACAATGTTACTAATAACCCCTTCTCCCCTCAATTTTATAGGTCTTCCTAGACTTAACAAATAGACATATAATAGAGATATAACATCCAGCATAATTGTTACAGTTGGTGGTGGCTCAGTGAATGTGAAAATGAAAACAAGATCATGGCCACCGGAACTTGGCTGCCGATATATAACATGATGCGATGCTGCCCCAGTCCAAGAACAAATTTAACATGAATAAATTTACTTTCATTTTAAATTCAATTCACTATAATGCCATGTCTTGTATGCTTCTTTTAAATGACAAGTGATTCATATTACGTATTATAATATCAATATCCTAAGGATATTAATACGGAAACTAACGGTCGAGGGAGCAGCATCTATCTTAGAAAATAACAAAAGGCCTGCCCGATTCCGCTATCAACAATAACGACTAGACCTGACAGCATATACTGCAAGAACTTGGAGCGCCAATGAGCAGATTGTGAAGCTGAAGAATAGGTAAATAAGTTATACTGTAATAATATAAAATTATTATTAGTCTGAAGACAGGGGGAGGATACGATGATCTTTAAATTCGGTACTTTTTCTACCACCGGGAGGGTGACCATGCGGCCCATGGTGGTATCGGGTTGTGAATATTTCCGCCATATATTACTTACACAATTATAATCTTAGTAGGAAGTATAATAATTTTTATAACATTTTGTTTCAGGTTACTGCTAGATGAACGAGTCCGTTGTTGTCGGTACTCTTAGTATACATTATTTTTACCTATACGAAGTAAAAGGATTGCCTGAACGGAGTCCATTTGTACTGCAATAACATTTTATAATCATATGAATTAGCATATTACATGTAAGTATGCTGTTGTACTCGTATTTAAATCATTAATAGCGAATAGCCAAATGTAGAATTTATTTGCATTTTGAGGGTACCCATAGCATGCAGTCAAATAGGCAATTAGTTGGAGCGGTAAACTAAATGTGTTCATAAGAATCGATGGCCATCTTTATGACTGTAAATATCTTTAGTGGTATTAATTTAATATTTAAATACAATGGATATGAAGGAAAATGAATAACAAATACATGTCTCATTTTTATTTTCAGGACACTTGTAATACGACCCAATAGTGATAATGATGTTGTATTGGAACGTTTCATCAAGAGCAACAAATGCAACTAGTCTCAGTATAAGGTAAGGGAAGAACAGAAATCATCACTCTGTCAATGGGTTAAAGTTTTAAATAAATATATTGATTATTTCGGGGGTGCAGTTGGGCACGTAGTATTGCATAAAAAGTTCCTGGGTTGGATTTCTCAATCGGGTAAAACTAATAAACTTTTTGATTTGGCTCAGGCCTGGATGTTACTTGTTGTTCCCCTAGGTGTTCATTGTCTGGTTCCTTGTAACACAGGGTATCTTAGTTTATTTTTATTTTAAGACTTGGCGATTGGTGTGATTGTACGCCACTTATTATTTTTGTCGATAAATAAAAGAAAAAATACATACTGATATATCAAAATTAATAATTTCATCAATTTTCACCTGCGCAAGTATTATTTTGTATTATAATTGTACTGAATCCGTATTTTTGCTTATTTTTGCTATATTATGGTAGTGTTGATATTTGTTTCATCGGTTTCATTTAGTTTCGACGGCTACTACGAGAGTACAAGAAGAGCTCAATGCGACGTGCAGTTCACGCTCGGCCAAGGGTTGATGGAGTGCATGAACGATGCAGTCTCTAAGTTATTTAGCAGCGAGCATGCCCGCCGGGTGTTGACTGTACCCAGCAAGATGTCACTCCTGGTCTACATGAGTCAGTGAAATCTCAAGGTGAGCGACATCATATCACGGCTACTCTTTTTCTCTTTCAATAAAATGTAGCTACAAAAAACTTGGATATAAGACGCTGTTTACAAGCCTAAAGCGACTTCTTACATGGGGGAGTTTATCACATTATTATGACTCGTCATAATGGGCCAATCGATTTGTTCATCCTCACCTATCAGGCAGCAGGTGGTATTGTGTGGCATTTTTATCCAATTAAAAAAAAACTAAAATTGGATTAATATTTTTTAAAGGATGTATCTTTTCTTATGCAATTTACATATAATGACAATTAAACTGACGGCCCATCTGATGGAAAATGGTAACCATAACAGTACCATAGATATAACAGAGTTTATTGTTTCACTCACGATACTCCCAATGCGTTGCCATTACTGAGGACTAAGTTGTTATCCCTCTGTACCCTGTAAATTCCTGCTATATCCCATCCCACCCATCAAACCAAAACACAACCATGCGAACACAACTGCTTCACGTCAATATTAATGTTGATATTAGTTTTAATATATTTCAATTTAATATTGTTTGCAGTTAACTAATATAAGACAAATTGTATTTGTTATATATATATATACATACATTTATGTATTTGTGTATCTTCATTATTATTTATTTATGTATTAATGTTATGTACTTTTATTATTTACACATGTACAGGTGTACAGCTGTTTTTATTGTATTATATATTCAATTGTTTTACTGGGTATTATTTAGTTTATCTTTAGCTGTACGGTTATGACCCTTGTACATTCTACAGTTTTCTTTCAGCTTCTCAAAGGTTGACTGTAAGAGATCCCTTTATGGGATAACTCCGCCATTGTATATTAAATCTTTTAATGTATTCAGTATAAACTATCTACAAAAAAGATTTTACAGAACAATACAATAATCTATACCTATATCTGTTAATCTAGCAAATATTTGGTTAAAATTAGCAATTTATCAGGATATCTATTTCAACGCCACTCATGTTTTTATCGTGAAGCGGCTGTACTTGCATAGTTATTTTGTTTTGAAGAACGGTAAAATTACAAGGTACGGAGGTAACACCAGTCTTTTGAAATAGCAGTTCATGAGGATTGTCATGGATATCACAATGCATTCTGTGTTTTTATTAGGTGGACCGTTAGTTTGCTTGCCAATCTGTTTCATAAAAAAAAAATATTAGGTGCATTTATAAGGCGCATGCAATAAATATTAAAGTATATGTATTTTACTGCAGGTTCTATAATATTGTATATTTGTTTATAATTTATCTTTCTACATATGTCTATACTCGTGCAAAGGAGAGGTGGTTCGCTAATGAATAATGAATGACGATTTGAGAGGATGAAGCAGGGTAATTGGTTCATTATAATGAACTTATTAAGTATAAAACACTATACTAATAATTCCTTCTCCAATTATCTTTGCAGGTCTTTCTAGATTTATAAATTGTCTATTTATATTCTATATATATTTTATATAAGATTTAGCACAATTGTTACAGATGGTGATACCTACTGAACCTACGGAACCTGCCTGCCGATAGATAATATGATGCGATGCTACTCCAGTACAAGAACACATTTGACATGGATAAATTCACTTTGCGCGCCAATTCTTTATCAAGAGACTGGTATGTTTCTTTTAAATGTCAGTTAATAGATTCATATTATGTGTTGTAATATAAATAGTAAGAAATTTATATTATACGTACTATATACATACTACATGTACAAATGATTATGAAATATTAACAGGAGCATGATGTTACATGTTTTGTTGTCCACTCAGCACTACTTCACAATAAATATGCATTTACTATTTACAAAAAACTTATACCAAATCATTTAATAAGGGATGTGTGAAAAAAATTCTCTAAAAACGTTCAGCAATGTGTTAACTGATAAGTTGTTTTTCTTAACTTATTAAATAATAATAAATATAAATAAAAGAAATATTACAAGATTTGATATAAGAATAGACGATAGAATTTTTAAAAATCATATAAGAAAACGGCGTGAATTATGGTCCCAGTCTTCAACGTCTACGTCAGAATACAGGTATAGGCAACTTATTAAGCAAATCATCAAGTGTATATGGCGTGACATACGCCAGTTTAATATTGTATACAAAGTGTTCGCCAGAGATTTGACTATTGGGCAAAGCCGACTTACAAAGTTGAAGAACGCTACCGATGATATAAATTTCGCTACATCTGAGATTTTGAGTGAGATTGTATGGACAGCTGTACACAACGTCGTTACCACCGCATACCAATGTAAATAACGACCTAAGAGCTAAAGTCACCCGACACTACCGATAATATCTCAGACGTCAGTTTGCAGGAGATTTAAATAGCTCCAACAGTTGCTTAAAAACGGCAAGGCAGCGTTTAATGGTGTCACTTTATCTTTTGGAGGCGTCTTCCTACACTGTGTTTGCCCGTACGGGCTTGTCACAGAAGAGCCTTTCTTCCCCACCAGTTGTTGCTTCTTCAAGCTATGTGACCAACCCATTTTCACTTCACCTTATTTATCCTTCTGGCTATGTTAGAGACTGGTTATTTTACGGATATCCTAAGTTTGGATTCTGTTACGTAAAAAAACTCTGAAGTACCCCTCTCCATAGCTTGGCGAGTAATTTGAAATGTCGGTCTCACCGGTGTCGGTCTTCACGTTTGAAAGTTGGCTTCACCCAATAGCCAAATCTCTGGCGAACACTTTAGAGCCTTAATTTCACTTTATTGCGAGTTCAATGCATGAATAGTATAAAATGTCCTCTAACACTGTTCCCACCTCATCGTCGAAATCTGTTACGGCCGGCGCATATACCTGTGTAACTTTCAACACTCTTTGGAATCAACTTCCAGCAGCAGTATTTCTGAATCCATACGACATCATAACCTTTAGAAAAAAGAATATATTCCTTTTTAAAAAGCCGGCAGCACACCTGCTAAGCCTCTGGTGGTGGTGATCATGTGCGGCGGTGGTCACTTACCATCTGGTGAGCCATATGGCTGTTTGCCTTCTGTGTTATAAAAAAAGATAATCCTATAATATTCCAGTGTAACTTATTTACCTCTTCTTCCAGCTTAACAATCTCCTCATCCGCCCTCAAAGTTTCTGTATTATATGTTGCCAGGTCTAGTCATTTTAGCTGGTAGCCAAATTACAAATGAAGATTCTTAGCATCTCCTGCCCCACCATTACCATGACAGCTGACGTGTTTACTCTTCATCAGCCCTTAAAGTTTGTGCATTATATGTTGCCAGGTCTAGTCATTTTGGTTGGTTGCCAAATAACTGCCGAAGATTCTTAGCATATCCTACCCCACCGTTACCATGACAGCTGGCGTGTTTTCTTTTTATCAGCCCTCAAAGTTTGTACATTATATATTGCCAGGTCTAGTCATTTTGGCTGGTAGCCAAATTACTGCCGAAGATTCTTAACATCTCCTGCCCCACCGTTACCATGACGGTTGACGTGTTTACTTCTCATCAGCCCTCATAGTGTGTACATTATATGTTGCCATGTCTTGTCATTTTGGTTGATAGCCAAATTACTGCCGAAGATTCTTAGCATCTCCTGCCCCACTGTTACCATGACGGCTGAAGTGATTACTTCTCATCAGCTCTCAAAGTTTGTGCATTATATGTTGCCAGGTCTAGTCAACTTGGTTGGTAGGCAAATTACTGCCAAAGATTCTTAGCATCTCCTGCCCCACTGTTATCATGACGGCTGAAGTGTTTACTTCTCATCAGCTCTCAAAGTTTGTGCATTATATGTTGCCAGGTCTAGTCATTTTGGCTGGTAGCCAAATTAATGCCGAAGGTTCTTAGCATCTCCTGCCCCACCGTTACTATGACGGCTGAAGTCTTTACTTCTCACCAGCCCTCAAAGTTTGTGAATTATATGTTGCCGCTTAAAATTTTATAAAGGTCACATATGAAATACTATTTTCACCTATAGGCAGAAACGCCACAGTACTAGCTTCTTCCGTTAGATCGCATTCAAAGTCGGGTGGCTCGAATTATTGATGGTCAGCACCTTACTGTCCGACTCGACACACTGAAACTGTGTAGAGATATTGGAATTTTGCGTAATTGGCACTTTCTTCCACGTACAAACGCTCTTTGCAATTAACTTCCAGCAGCAGTATTTTCGAACCCATATGACATCATGACCTTCAAGAAAAGAGCGTATTCCTTTTTAAAAGGTCGGCAGCACACCTGCTAAAGCTCTGGTGGTGCGGGTGATCTTAGGCGGTGGTGGTCACTTATCATCAGGTAAGCCACATGCTCGTTTATCGTCTGTGTTATAGAAAAAAAAGATAGTTCTATAATATCCCAGTGTAACTTCTTTACCTCTTCTAGCTTCACAGTCTTCTTATGGGCCCTCAAAGTTTGGCCGTTTTACCTGGTGGCCAACTTTTGCACTATATCTAGACCTGTTAATATAGCTCGAGTTCTTTGAATATTGTTTACATAACACTCGAACAGTACGTTATTGTTAGTACTAGATTGTATCAAGAAGTCTATACCTTGAAAATAATACAAGACAAGTTAGGCATAAATCTATTTGCTCTCTTCTTCGGAAGTGAATTACTTCTTAGTACCAGCAATAACCTTTCCTGTCATCAATGATACTAGTAATCAGTAAGGCAGTCTACCATACACTTCCAGGTGGAGGTCGATATCCTTTTTTTATATAGGAACATGCATCATGCAGCTTCATACGTCTCTTTCGGGGCGTGTGGTACTGACTGATGATGACTTGATCCTTCTTTATTATAAATCGATACACTTTTTATTGGAATCTCCCTATTGCATTATCTATTTTTTCATTTGCAAATGTTCATTTTAAAAATACTACATCATTATTACTACTGGGTGGTACCAAAAATCTATAGCCTCAAAATGTAAGACCCCATTTGCGGATCAATTAATATACAAACGGATTTACTATACGGGGTTATAAGATGAGAGCCAATTTTCGTTTGAAAATGTGTAAAGTGGCTTAGTGTGATTTTGAAATATTCTTACTATGTATTACAAATGGACTCCTTTCAGGCAATCCTTCTACTTCCACATTATATTATTTCCAATCGAGATTTTGTGAGATGTTATCATAAAGTTATTTTTTTAAATACAAGTTTATTTTCCTGTATTAATTTTTGTATAGCTATTTCGTTGTATTTAAAGTTATAACTATCAAAGTATTTTAGGTATTTTAATATTCTAACATACATTCATAACTGATTGAAGTCTAGCAGTAAATGTTAATTTTTACTTTATTCTTATCTTGTATTTGGACAAGTTATTATTATATAACTAGAGTTTCTTGAGTGTTCTTTACATAATACTTGAGTAGAACGTCATTGTAGGTACTGGGTCGTATTAAGATCTTAAGATCCTATCGCTTGAAAGTTGTGTATGACTAGGAATGGTTACTTCGCCGGTGCTATCAATATACGCTGACGGGGCACCAGTGAGAGATTGTAGGTAAGAATGAAATCAGGTCAGTGAGCCCACCATGACGAATGCAACAAGAATTAATTATGATGGTTCCAGGGTGAACTGCGTGGAGGTTGACCTGACCTGACCCCACTGCTGGCAATGTACCTTGCCAGCAGTGGGATTGTTAGACCCCATTACTAAAATTTTTCTCTCCCACCACAATCAATTCGAGTCTAAACCTATTTGCAGGCCGTTTGACTGGATTGTCATAATTAACATTTGAAAAATTCAGGAAAAAATTAGGAATGATTTTTCTATTGGATGACTTGATCCTTTTTTATTATAAACTGCTACACTTTTTATTGGAATTTCCCAATTGCGATATCATTTTTTTCATTTACAAATGTTCATATTTTTCATTTACAAAAATACTACATCATTATTACTACCGGGTGGTACCAAAAATCTATAGTCTCAAAATGCAAGAACTCTTTTGCGGTTCAATTTATATAATATGTAAAAAGGTTTACTGGTAATAAGATGAGGGCCAATTTTCGTTTAAATATGTATGAAACGGCTTAGTTTGTATACTCGGGATACAGCAGACTGGCTCAAGTGGAGCTGGGCAGTGACTGCTCGCTGGCTTAACCCTTGTTAACATGGCAGCAACTTGAGCGGTTTCTTCTGGTGTGGTATCTATGGTTTCATGAAAACAAGGAATGCATTTACTGAGATGTGTACCGGTCAATATGTGATAAGCGACTGATAAAGGTAAACCAGGTGTTGGGCGGGTTTAATAGTGGGGGCAGGTAGCGCAACTCGTGGATACCTTATGGAGCAAATTTTCCCTGACGCCCAATTAAAATGCGTCATTAAATCAGCGCTTAAGTTTTTTTTAGGGTATTGATGTTAAATGAGAGCATAATTCTTCAGCTTTCGAATGACATATCATCTTTATAATTAACAGTTGTCGTTTTAGTAAAATCAATATGTGCTCCGTCAAGGGTTGAGTCGATTTGGTTGCTCGTGAGCGTATAAGGTGAGGAAGAATTTTCGTCTAAAAACGTGTGAGGTGGTTTTGTGATATTGAAATATTACCACGCATTACAGATGAACTGTTTTTGGTACTTTTTCTAGCTCCATGATATAATAATAATTTCTGAACGGGATTTTGTTAAGAACTGTCGTAATAATGTATTGGTTAAAGGACAAGTTTGTTTTTTCTTAAATTAGTTATTTGTATAGTTATTTTTGGACTTTAAATATACAATTTATACATTTTAATATACATAATTAATTGAAGCGCGGCGGTAAATGGATAACTTCTTATTATAATATTATATTCTGATTCTTCTGATATTTTATTCTTACAGTACTTGTAGATACAGATCTCGGTTCTTTATTATAACTCGAGTTTCTTTAATAATTTTAACATAAAATTGGAACAAAACGTCATTGTTAGTGCTGGATCATTTAAGTAAGCTATCACTTGAAATAAAATATACAATTTAAATATGTATAAATCTACTTGCAGATCGCTTCATGGGTTTGGTCATAATTACAGATGAATGTATGTTTGAAAAATTCAAGAAAGAATAACGAATGTTTTTTTTTCTAATGGATGGCTTGTTTCTACTTTATTATAAACTAATACACTTTTCACTGGATCGTGAGTCTCCTTAGAGTGATATCAATTTTTCATTTGCAAATATTCATTATAAGAATACCACATCATTATTACTACTGGGTAGTACTAGAAATCTATAATAGGCTGAAAATGCAAGAACCCATTTGCGAATCAATTAATATGTAAACAAGTTTACTTTTAATTAATAAGGCGAGGACCAATTTTTGTGTGAAAATATTTTAGATAGTCGAAGAGTGATTTTGAAATATTTTTACCGCGCATTATAGATGGACTCCATTAAGGTGATCTACTTCTAATTCGTAATAAATATTTCCATTCGAGGTTTTGTGATGAGATCAGACATTTAACATTACAATGATTATTTATGAGTGTTGAGTAATTCAAGAAACGATAAGAAATTACTTTTCTAATAGATGGCTTGATTCTACTTTATTGCAAAGTTGTACAGTTTTCATTGGAATTTCTTACTACTGGGTGGTACTAGAAATCTATAGACTGAAAATGTAAGAACTTATTTGAGGATGATTTATACGTAAACGGGTTTACTAACGAGTTTATTTCAAATCAGCCCTCAAAGTTTGTACATTATATGTTGCCAGGTCTAGTCATTTTGGCTAGTAGCTAAATTACTGGCAACTATTCTTAACATCTCCTGCCCCACTGATACCATGACGGCTGAAGTGATTACTTCTCATCAGCTCTCAAAGTTTGTGCGTTATATGTTGCCAGGTCTAGTCAACTTGGTTGGTAGGCAAATTACTGCCGAAGATTCTTAGCATCTCCTGCCCCACTGTTACCATGACGGCTGAAGTGATTACTTCTCATCAGCTCTCAAAGTTTGTGCATTATATGTTGCCAGGTCTAGTCAACTTGGTTGGTAGGCAAATTACTGCCGAAGATTCTTAGCATCTCCTGCCCCACTGTTACCATGACGGCTGAAGTGATTACTTCTCATCAGCTCTCAAAGTTTGTGCATTATATGTTGCCAGGTCTAGTCAACTTGGTTGGTAGGCAAATTACTGCCGAAGATTCTTAGCATCTCCTGCCCCACTGTTACCATGATGGCTGAAGTAATTACTTCACATCAGCTCTCAAAGTTTGTGCATTATATGTTGCCAGGTCTAGTCAACTTGGTTGGTAGGCAAATTACTGCCGAAGATTCTTAGCATCTCCTGCCTCACTGTTACCATGACGGCTGAAGTGTTTACTTCTTATCAGCTCTCAAAGTTTGTGCATTATATGTCGCCAGGTCTAGTCAACTTGGTTGGTAGGCAAATTACTGCCGAAGATTCTTAGCATCTCCTGCCCCACTGTTATCATGACGGCTGAAGTGATTACTTCTCATCAGCTCTCAAAGTTTGTGCATTATATGTTGCCAGGTCTACTCAACTTGGTTGGTAGGCAAATTACTGCCGAAGATTCTTAGCATCTCCTGCCACACTGTTACCATGACGGCTGACATGTTTACTTCTCATCAGCTCTCAAAGTTTGTGCATTATATATTGCCAGGTCTAGTCAACTTGGTTGGTAGGCAAATTACTGCCGAAGATTCTTAGCATCTTCTGCCTCACTGTTACCATGACGGTTGAAGTGATTACTTCTCATCAGCTCTCAAAGTTTGTGCATTATATGTCGCCAGGTCTAGTCAACTTGGTTGGTAGGCAAATTACTGCCGAAGATTCTTAGCATCTCCTGCCTCACTGTTACCATGACGGCTGAAGTGATTACTTCTAATCAGCTCTCAAAGTTTGTGCATTATATGTTGCCAGGTCTAGTCAACTTGGTTGGTAGGCAAATTACTGCCGAAGATTCTTAGCATCTCTTGCCCCACTGTTACCATGACGGCTGAAGTGTTTACTTCTCATCAGCTCTCAAAGTTTGTGCATTATAGGTTGCCAGGTCTAGTCAACTTGGTTGGTAGGCAAATTACTGCCGAAGATTCTTAGCATCTCCTGCCTCACTGTTACCATGACGGCTGAAGTGTTTACTTCTTATCAGCTCTCAAAGTTTGTGCATTATATGTCGCCAGGTCTAGTCAACTTGGTTGGTAGGCAAATTACTGCCGAAGATTCTTAGCATCTCCTGCCCCACTGTTATCATGACGGCTGAAGTGATTACTTCTCATCAGCTCTCAAAGTTTGTGCATTATATGTTGCCAGGTCTAGTCAACTTGGTTGGTAGGCAAATTACTGCCGAAGATTCTTAGCATCTCCTGCCACACTGTTACCATGACGGCTGACATGTTTACTTCTCATCAGCTCTCAAAGTTTGTGCATTATATATTGCCAGGTCTAGTCAACTTGGTTGGTAGGCAAATTACTGCCGAAGATTCTTAGCATCTCTTGCCCCACTGTTACCATGACGGCTGAAGTGTTTACTTCTCATCAGCTCTTAAAGTTTGTGCATTATAGGTTGCCAGGTCTAGTCAACTTGGTTGGTAGGCAAATTACTGCCGAAAATTCTTAGCATCTCCTGCCCCACTTTTACCATGACGGCTGAAGTGTTTACTTCTTATCAGCTCTCAAAGTTTGTGCATTATATGTTGCCAGGTCTAGTCAACTTGGTTGGTAGGCAAATTACTGCCGAAGATTCTTAGCATCTCCTGCCTCACTGTTACCATGACGGCTGAAGTGTTTACTTCTTATCAGCTCCCAATGTTTGTGCATTATATGTTGCCAGGTCTAGTCAACTTGGTTGGTAGGCAAATTACTGCCGAAGATTCTTAGCATCTCCTGCCTCACTGTTACCATGACGGCTGAAGTGTTTACTTCTTATCAGCTCTCAAAGTTTGTGCATTATATGTCGCCAGGTCTAGTCAACTTGGTTGGTAGGCAAATTACTGCCGAAGATTCTTAGCATCTCCTGCCCCACTGTTATCATGACGGCTGAAGTGATTACTTCTCATCAGCTCTCAAAGTTTGTGCATTATATGTTGCCAGGTCTAGTCAACTTGGTTGGTAGGCAAATTACTGTCGAAGATTCTTAGCATCTCCTGCCACACTGTTACCATGA